GGGGTCGGGGCAGTGGGTCTGGGGTCTGGGCCGGACGCTGGGTCTGGGGTCTGGGGTCGGCGCTGGGTCTGGGGTCGGGGAGGGGGTGGGCGCTGGGTCTGGGGTCGGGCCGAGGCTCAGGAGGAGCCGAACCGGCCCCGCTGACCTTGGTGGGGTCCCGGTCCCGGTCCCGGTCCCGGCCGGATCCGCCCCAGGAATCCTCGGCCCTCGCTCGGGAACCTCGCGGCGGCTCCGGTGTCACCTCCCAGCCTGGAGGGGACATCGGGGACACGGTGGGACACGGGGACAACCCCGGGACATCGGGGGACACCGGTGGGACACGGGGACACCCCCGGGACATCGGGGGACACCGGGGGGACACGGGGACACCCCCGGGACATCGGGGGACACCGGGGGGACACGGGGACACGCCCGGGACATCGGGGGACACCGGGGGGCTCCGTCCCTCCCCCCCCCCACCTCATCCCTCCCCCCACCGGGACCCGGACCCGGCTCGGGGACACTTTGGGGACACCCGCGATGTCCCCAGGGCCGGGTGGCCCCGAAGGGCTCCGACCCCGCGGGAATTGGGGGAGGGTCGGGAAGGGCGGGGCAGCGTGGGAATGTCACCTGTCACCTGTTCCTGTCACCATCCCCTGTCCCCTTGTCCCTCTGTCCCTGTCCCCATCCCCTGTCTCTCTGTCCCCTGTACTTGTTCCTCTGTCCCTGTCGCCATCCCTGGCCCTGTCCCTCTGTCCCTGTCACCTGTCCCCTGTCACCATCCCTGTCCCTCTGTCCCTGTCCCCTGTCCCTTTTCTCCCTGTCACCTGTCCCCACCCCCTGTCCCCTGTCCCTCTGTCTCTGTCCGTGTCCCTCTGTCCCCTGTCACCATCCCGTGTCCCTCTGTCCCCTGTCCCTCTGTCCCCATCCCGTGTCCCTCTGTCCCTGTCCCTCTGTCCCTGTCCCGCTCCCCCGTCCCGCTCCCCCAGCTCCGCCCCTGAATTTTGAGTGAATTTCTCCCTTTTCACAGAATTTCGTGCGGGGTTTTTTTTTTTTTTTTAATCCTTCCCTCGCTCCAAACCCCCCCTGCAAAACCGGGGAGGGGGCGACAACACCCGGGGGACCCCCGGAGCGTCCCCAGCGGGCGGTGACACCTCCGGGGGAGGCTCGGGGTGTCCCCCCCCGGCCCGGGGGTGTCCCCAGGAGGGACAATCCGGGCTCGGAAGGCTCTGGAAGGCTCCGCTCGGTGGCGGCCAAACTGGTTGGTGACTCAGAGCGGGGCGGGGGGACCGGGGGGGACCCGGGGGGGGGCCGGGGGTGACTCAGAGCGGCCCCGAGCGCTGGGAGGGGCCGGGCCCCGCGGCCGCTTCCCCGCGCTCAGAAATGAGCCAAAAATCCGCCTTTTCCAGGATTTTCCAGCCCTTTTCCAGGATTTTCCAGCGCCTTTCCGCGTTTTTCCTCCCATCCCGAGGTGACTCGAGCCCAGGGGACAGCTCCGAGTGTCCCCCCCGCGGCGGTGCCACCCCCCCGCCAGCCCCGCCGCGCTATTTTTGGGGTGAAAACCACGTGTGGCCCCCGCCCGGTATTTTTAGTGCCCCCCCCCCGCCCCCAAAAAGCCGCAGAGGGACAGAGGGATGAGATGTCACCCGTGTCACCCTGGCCGGTGTCACCGGGGTCCCCAAAAGGAGCCGGCCACCACCCCTGGGTGACGGCTGGGGGGGACACGGGGACAGCGGGGGACCCGCGGGTGTTGTTTTGGGGTCCCCTGACCCTGTTTTGGGGTCCTCAGGCGCTGTTTTGGGGTCCTCGGGGGCTCTTTTGGGACCCCTGGCTGTTGTTTAGGGTCCCCAGGTGCTGTTTTGGGGTCCCCAGGTGCTGTTTTGGGGTCCCCGGGCGCTGTTTTGGGACCCCCGAGAGCTCTTTTGGGGTCCCAGGGCGCATTTTTGGGACCCCTGGGTGTTGTTTGGGGTCCCCGAGCGCTGTTTTGGGGCTACCGGGAGTTGTTTTGGGACCTCCTGGAGCTGTTTCGGGGTTCCCTGACCCTGTTTTGGGACCCCAGGTGCTGTTTTGGGGTCCCCGAGCGCTGTTTTGGGGTCCCCAGGCGCTGTTTCGGGGTCCCCAGGTGCTGTTTTGAGGTCCCCCAGAGCTCCCCGGGCCGCAAAGGGACAAACCGCTGAGGCCACGTTGTCCCTTGGGACCCCCCGGTGCCACCCCCGAGGTCCCCGAGGTCCCCCCGGTGCCACCCCCGAGGTCCCCGAGGTCCCCCCGGTGTCGCCCCCACTTTGTCACCGCTCCAGGACCCCCAACCCCTCCCCCACCGCCACCAGCGCCCCCCGCCCGGGGCCGAGACCCGGATTTGGGGAGGTTTTGACCCCAAATTCGGGGGTCCCCGGGAGTTGTGACCCCCCCAAGGGCCGGGGGTCCGGGCGGGGCCGGTGACGCACGGCCCGGGATCCTCCCAGGAAACGCCAAATCCCGGAAAACAATCCCAAAAAAAGGGGGGAAAACGGGAAAAAATGGGGAAAAAATGGGAAAAATCGGGGGGAAAGAACCCCGGGAGGAGGAGGAGGAGGAGGAGGAGGAGGAGCAGCGGGCGGGGCCCCGCGGCCGGTACCGGTCGGACCGGCTGGAGCGAGAGTCCCGCGGGCGGCGGGGACCGCGGGGATCCGGGAGGGTCCCGGACCGGTTCCACCGGGTCCTGCCCGGACTCTGCCCGCGGCCACACGCGGTGGCGCCGGGACACTCCGGGGGTGTCCCCAGCCCCGCCCCCTCCCCAAAAATCACCCCCACCCCTCCCGAGAGGCCCTTGGGAACCCCCCGAAATGTTCCGAGGGGGGGGGGGCAGGGGAATAGACCCCACCCCAAATAAATTCGGGGGGTCCCCAGGGGGGGTTCGGTGACCGGAGAGGGGTGGGGGGGTCCCCACGGGGGGGTTCGGCCCCCCCAGAGGGGTGGGGGGTCCCCAAGGGGGGGTTCGGCCCCCCCAGAGGGGTGGGGGGTCCCCAAGGGGGGGTTCGGCCCCCCCAGAGGGGGGGGGGGCCCCCAAGGGGGGGGTTCGGCCCCCCCAGAGG